ACTGGCTGGTGCGAGTCGTACAAAGAAGACACATCCTCACGCTTAGGAAAAAGAAGAAGAGGTCCAAGCAGCAAAAGATTAAGCTCAAGGTGTGACGGATACGCTGCGGGCAGGTAAGGATACTCGAGGTCTCGATTTTAAACGACAAAAAGGCTCATGGAAATCTAGGATAAGCTCAGGAAGCTTTGATGAGCTTATTTTTGGCGCCGTGTTATAAGCCCTGAGATGCTTTTCCTCCCCAGGGGCCGCTTATGAAGTTGAATGGCGGGAACATTTGCATTAATGATACCCAAGTATTGGTAAAGGAGTGGGCGTGATCTATTTGTAAGTGGCAGTGAATTTGAGTATAGCATTTATAAACAAGTTTACCAAGCACACTAGTCTTTTACAGGTGTCAAACACCTGAGAACAAAGCAAACTATATTGAAGTTACCCAGATAAATTTGAAGCATCAAACAAACTTGTGTTCTTGATTGGATTCTTAACAGTGTTGTGGAAATTTGAATATCAATATGGCTTGGACTTGGCGGATCTAGAATATGCACCATGCGTGTCTCCATCTTTACACTACATACGAGGATGTCAACGTCGTATCTCACAGCCACAACATCCCCCTTTTCTTTCCAAGTCCGGTATCATCCCCTCCTTTTTAAAACGGTAACCCAAGGTACTCGGAGTTACCAGAGCGCAGCGGGTCAGACTTGAGCATTCTTTGACAGAAGGGACAGGGCCAATCCAGTCAACTGTCTAAGAGACCTTGGGGTGCACCAATACCCCTCAGAAGGCGTTGTACGAAAGGGGGGAGGTCTAATACCGGCTCTGCATGCGTAAGCCATCAACTTTGATTCAAGCGTCCATCAGCAAGCGATGACAGTGCCTGCAAGGCACATTATAGAGTCGTCTGATACAATTGATAGACTGAGAGTATAGATATCAAAATACAACCAACTCCTGACAGCTTTGGCAGTTGTCATCCCTTCCGTGCGCCGCACTCATAGAAATACATCCTTAAATTTCACCTTCAGCTTGAGCTAGACCTTCTAATTTGGCTTCATTACATCGTACAGACGCTCTCTCAACTTTGTCTGTTGCCTGGGTGGTAGAAATAAGGGTATCCAGGAACCATGATAGAAGGGCATTCGAACCACCATCGAGGGCAACAAACGCCATATGTCAGAATTATCCGTGTGTTATGCCAGCCAGCAACACAATGATTGGGGAGAGTAAAGGGGAGCTCGTTCAGACCCTCTGCTGTCCAAGCATTTGGATCATTGATTCGGTGGATTTCTTGGTATACTTGGGGGCAGGATGTTTCGAAATGGAGCTCGCCATAACATCCGCAAAGATTTAGAAATAGAACGTAACCACACATGTGGGCTATTGAAATTTCGTTCTGGGGGCTTTTGTATCTTGTGCGCGCCCGTTGAGTAGCATGAGTGAGCCCAGAGAACGAGAAGCATAACGATGGTCCTGGTGGCTAAGCGTGAGGCAAGTCGCGTGAGTCTCAGGACATATCATGGTCAGCATCTTTGGATTGTCGGTAGAGATGAAGAGTGGCAGTTTGTCGTTCGTGGTTCGGGCGCCAGCTGCGAACCTTCTGATTGTTTAAACGGTTTGCGCTTCTGCTCTGTTTGAGGATCATTGTTAGTACCAGGCTCGTGTGTAGCAACTTGCCCCTAACGAACTGTTTGACAGCCGTTCACTTATGCCGAAAGCAACGTGCAGTTGGTTGCTCCGCGCATGAATAGCGAGTCACAAACCCTTCTGTGGCACCAATCTGTCATTCTTGATCCGGCGAGATTGGATCTGACATGTCGGTTTGAAGTTGGCTTTGGACCAAGAGATTCTCAGTTCTTTTGGCTGTTTAGTATGGCCACTCGGCCATTGACGAACAGCGGGAGGAAACATTATAGCATGAGGACGTCGTTTTCGAAGGAGGAGACGGAATACGATAGCCCTTAGCCTAAACTTGCTATGAATCCATGAAGTCGGGTGAAGTACATGCTCGGTTCAGGCTTATACCAGTCCAATAAGCTTGAAATTTGAGTTATCGTATTGGACGGGTCGCCGCGAGCCGTCACCGCCTGTTGAAACAACGGTACGGAAGCCGGGTCTACTTCTTTATTTAAAGATGGATCTGTTGAATGCTCAGGCGGAAATGAGGGTCATGGAAATGCGAGTAAGTTGGAGGTTTCATAGAGTAGAGTTTCTTTGATATAGAGTTCAACTCCCTAACCAGTAGGTAAACACACGTGAAGATGCATATTTGGAGACCATCCAGAAAAGAGCAAAACCCCATGATCTCGATTACCTTAAAATTATGCTCGCGTGGTCAAGATACCATCTCACCATTGGTTATCTTCCCCCAAAACTGATTATCAGTGAGCAATGAGCCTTCGTCCCGCTCCACCCACGTGAACCACTGATGTCACCCGGTCCACCGCTAATGGAACTGTAAGCCCCTGTAACGAGCTCTGAAGCTACCCCCGCATAGCTCCAACTCGTAGTGTCGCATAAGTTAATGGATGTCATAATCGCCTATCCAACCATTTTCTGTTGTCTTGTTGCACCTTGCACAACCCAACACTCTCCCTTTTTCTTACGCGGCCAGATAACGTACAATGGTTTGTCTCTCCTCTTCTTCCCTTCTGCCTCAGTCCGAGACTTATCTTGTCATCCCACGTTTTCTTTCCAGCTAACAATGTCTTCTCCTCAGGCCAACGAAAGCGATCCTCTCTTGTCCGGTGACGGTGACGGTGACGGCCGCTCCGATGCTCAGGCCGATAAGGGCGCCCGGAACTCGCGACTCCGTGAACTCGGCCTCTTTGCCTGGGCTCTGATTGCCACTGCTGCCGTCACTGTTGTTGCAATTTGGACTCAGCATGAGCAACAAACCAGGCATGATCACAACACGCCCGCCTCTAAGCGAAACCTCGTCTTCATGGTGTCAGACGGCATGGGCCCTGCACCTTTGTCCTTGACGCGTAGCTTCCGACAACACGTGGAAGAGCTTCCCTACGGCGATACCCTCACTCTCGATAAGCATTTCTGGGGCACGAGCCGGACTCGCTCCAGCAGTTCCCTGGTTACAGACAGTGCTGCTGGTGCTACAGCCTTCTCCTGTGGCAAGAAGACCTACAATGGTGCTATCTCTACGCTCCCTAACCACGATCCCTGTGGAACCGTCCTAGAAGCTGCCAAGCGTGCTGGATATCATACTGGACTTGTTGTCACGACGAAGATTGAGGTATGTGTGATCAGAGGGTAACTAAGTCACTACGAAACTAATCAATACTGCCCAGGATGCCACTCCAGCCTGCTTTAACTCCCACGTGGTCCTCCGCGAGATGGAAGACGAGATTGCTCTCCAACAGATCGGAGAAGGTGTCCTGGGCCGAACTGTTGATCTGATGCTTGGTGGTGGCCGCTGTAACTTCTTGCCCAACAGCACCGAGGGCAGCTGCCGAGCCGACGACACAGACGTGATCAAGATTGCAAAGGAAAAGCACAACTGGACCTACACCGACAGTCGCGCTGGCTTTGATGCTCTCAAGGGCGGCAACAACGTCAAGCTGCCTTTGCTCGGACTCTTTGCCCCAACTGACATCCCCTTTGAGATTGACCGCCGAAACCACAACGACGTCTACCCCTCGCTGAGCGAAATGGCCAAGACCGCTCTTCGCGCTCTTGAGAAGGCTACTGAAAAGAGTGACAAGGGCTTTTTTATCATGATCGAGGGCAGCCGAATTGACCATGCCGGTCATATCAATGATCCTGCAGCTCAGGTCCACGAGGTTCTTGAGTATGACAAGACATTCCAAGCTGTTCTCGACTTTATCAAGGAGAGCAAGACTGAAACCGTTCTTGTCGCAACTAGTGACCATGAAACTGGTGGTCTTGCCACTGCGATTCAGGAACCTGGTCACCTCCCAGTCTACAACTGGTACCCCAAGGTACTTGCAAATGCTACTGCTTCAGCTGAGTGGCTTCACGCCAAGCTCAACGCACACCTTGCCTCTGATTCCAACATCAAGAAGAATAAGGAGAAGCTAAAGACGTACATCAACGAGGAACTCATCGTCCGCGGTCTTGGTATCTCCAACGCCTCTGATAAGGAGATCACCACCATTGCTGATCATCCTGAGAGCGCTCTTGTCCTCTTCTCAGCTCTCATCTCCCTGCGCGCTCACGTCGGTTGGAGTACACACGGCCACACCGCCGTCGACGTCAATATCTACAGTTCTGGTGGCCCCCGAACAGAGAACATCCGTGGTAATGTTGAGAATACCGATGTTGGCAAATATCTACGGGAGTATCTTGAGGTTGACGTCGACGCGATCACCTCGGAACTCATGGAAAAGATGAGCAAGGCTGATCTTCAAGATGTTGGTATGGAGGCACTCGACGAAGTTTGGTCTCTTGGTAACAAGTACCATGCTATTGAGGTTTAATGAGCATACTGCATTTTTTAGAATGATTATACGACTTATATGGGTCTAACAAGAGGTGGGAAAGGAGGTCTTGATCAAGATATGTAGAGTGGCATATCCAACCTATAGTAGATTTACTTGTTAGCTTGCCTATGATGCATTTGAACTTTTTGAGTTTTCGTTCCAACACAACTACAGCAACTTATTAGCTGCTGTCTATTGAGACATCGCTCGATATATATCCCTTCAATTCACATGAAATCAGAGAATCAGATTCATCGTGGTCATCCCAGCACGCCAGTGGTACCCGAGTCTAGATGCTTTGACCAGTTTCGTCTCCATAGAGACCCGAAAAATAGGGTAAAATATCATGCCTGTTCACGGGCAGTGACCGCTACAATGCTTGACTGCGATCAAAAGTCGAGCAGTTCATTATCTATACGCTAGTTACCAACAAAAACCATCGGCCAGACTCCTGGTTGTTAACCAAGTAAATACTTTAAACCAACCAATATACTCCTCACTTGTGACCATTAACCCCCTTAACCAAGCGCCTTTCCCCCTTGATGATCATGGCCGGCTTGCAGAAGCCGAGCCAACATTGTATCGTACATACAGACGATCTAGAAAGTGCGAGTGACGGATCCCATTAGGCCTCGCCTTGGCAAATGTGTCGATAGCCTCCTGAACCCCGAAATCGCACCGCTCAACGAGATAGCATACAATAAAGTATCCCGTGCGGTTGAAGCCGTAATGGCAGTGCACTCCAACAACACACTGATCGGGATTTGTCCAGCCCTCGGCGGTAGCGCGCGCAGGCTGCCGATTTCGGAGGTCGTCAACCAACTTGATAAAATCTTTAACCTCACGATCCTCTGGGGGTATCTTCGAAACTGTGGGGAACTTATGATAATGGATTCCAGCTCGTTCTAAGCCGCGTGGGTCATAGTGAGGCTGGTCTTTAGAGATATCAATGATATCTTTGACGATAGAACCCCAATTTGAAATAAAACTCTGTGGAGAATGGACATCATCCACTTCACGAAGTGTCTTGAGTGCCCGGAAGATGGGTTTTCCAGTACGTCCAATCGGCTCGGATACTGGAGTAACAGACTTCCATTTGTTGAGATTTTTGACGTCCCATTTTCCCTCACGGTTGAGGTATTGCAGTTGCCAGGCCAGGGAGAGTCTTCCAGTAACGTGTGTGGCCAGGAAATCAGAAATTAACCCGGCAACGGCACGAACTGAGCAAGGGGCGTATAGGACAGCGTGTGTTGCAGGTAGTGGCATAACAGTGGTCTTCACTACCTTCCTGGGATGGTTCGGTTGCGCAGGTAGTTCAGTCATAGTCTCGTTGGGGGTTGAGGGATCATTGGGGCTATTCTCTTCTGAACTGGGAACCACCGTAGACTTGGCCTTTGTGAAGTCATCGTCATTGATATCTTCAATAGCTTGTGGAACATGATCCTGCGGTCTTGTAGAAGAGTTGACGGGGGCAGCAGCTTCGACGATAGCCTCGTGTGTCTCTCCTGATGCCCCTGATTCTGGCAGAGTCTTGTCAGGATCCAATGCGTTAGCAATCTTTGTGGCTTCCTCAGGTGAAACAACAGTGTCCCCTTCAGCACCTATCAAGAAGACGGGGATATTTAATCCTGCCCAGACTTCTAGGGTCGGGAGACCGCCTTTGGGTTTGCCGTTATGATAGAGTGGTAGGGCGCCATTGGCAATGCGTCTAAAGACTGGGGTTCGACTCTGTCTGTTAAAGCGATATTGAAGTTTTCGGGTAGCCTCGTCGGCATCCTTTCCAACGAAACGCCTGACGCTGGCACTGTTGTGTCCTCCCCGACCGTTCCATGCTCGCCACAGATCAAACATCCACTCCGGAGCCCAAAGTCCCATCCGAGCCCACCATGTTATTGATTCACCAGGAGGGCTTGACACGGGGCAGATAGCCACCAATCCTACGACGTACTCGGCTAGCGAGGTTGTATGGTCGACTTGGGTGTTGGCCAACTTAGCAGCGAGACTTGTCCCCATGCTATGGCCGATCAGGACCACTCGTTGGCCTGCGTCCTTGTCTCGATAGTCCTCAATGACTGTTTCCAAAAGCTCTACCAAAGCATCCGTCGTGTAGGCTTCCCAATCAAGGACCGAGAAATCAGATCGGCCACAACCGGGGTAGTCAATTGCCATGCAGGTAGCCACATCCACCAGACTACTTAACAGAGGATGAAACTGGGCAACGGAGCCGCCCAAGCCATGCAGAAATACTAATAGTGGTAATGGGGCAGGTTTTTGGGGTAGTTCGTCTGCCTTGACATGTTGTCGGTAGAAAACTCGGATTCCAGAGTATGTGAAACGACTTGTTGTATAGGACTTGAACTCTGAATGATCTTTCAGCAAAGTCGGGTCCGTGAGGTGAGGGTCTGTGGAGTCGATAGCGTCCCGTTGGACGCTCGCTGCAGGAGAGTCCATAAGTGCGCGTGAGGGTTTTATACTCCAGGATATTGGCGGAGGTGTGTTGTAAGTTTGTTGCGGATTTTCTATAGTTTATAAGAAGGAAGGACTGAATTGCAATTGGATTTGAGTTCAGGTCGATTGTTTTAGTTGCATCAGAGATTGAAGCTGTTGTTGAGTCACCAACAAGGTATTGACTGGTATTACACGAGTAACACCAAGTTCGCGTGTTTCTCCGACCACCGCAGCTGTCTCATACAATCGGTATGAAATAGGTCAAATAGTGCAACGCCGCAAAGACTTGCAGTTTCATAGAGAAGCCCAGTTGACAACGAGAACTTGAACGATCAACAGCCCAGGGCCCAGCCAAGCTTTTGAAGTTCTTGGACCCTAGGTATGTGCCCCACGCGAACCGCGGTCAGGGCGCGCCAAACAACAAAAATTGCGTGAAGTGTGACCTAATAATGTCAAAAATCGATGCTGAATTCGATGATCTTCAGTGTGGATATTGTGTAGCGTTGCTGGATTGACATTGATGATGAGACTGGAGATTTGGCTTTGAGTAATTGTCAAAGTTCAGGGAAGCAACCAATTACACAATTGCATCATACCTTGTGGGCGAATTAGATCTCCATTGGGGGAACCAATTATTTGTGCAGGACTGAGGCATGTTGTGCATAAAGCCTACCCTGAAGAATGGAATTTCTGAGTAGAGTCTCGAAGTTATGCTCTCTCCTTTAATCGTGACTCTTTTTGGTTTGATAATTAATTTAATCAATTTGGCTTCCAGGATGACATTATCGTAATTGCCAATAATTTATGAGTTTGGTTCAGGAACTACGTTATGAACTAATGCAAGTACTCTATATTTGCAATTCTTGGTCATAGATAGGTAGCGTGTAGATTTTGGCAATACAAGTCCCTGGCCTCGACTGTTAGAAAGATATACCACGGCTCATAAGGAATGGATATAGAATTTGAAGACAGGGAGCTTTCCAAGTCCCATGCCAATCGCTTGATATGGGCAAAATAGTCAGTTCGAGGACTCGACATTTCCCTGTTTAAAATAGCGAATACCTATATGCAGCATCTTGCCCTCACATCCATACTCTTACAATAAAAATACACCTTCGAAGTGCGGTTCTCGGTTCAGCTGTTCTCATTCCGCTCCAACGCCGTCCTTCCATCCAATGGGTATTAGAGCAGCTGCTACGTTCGAAACGCCTCGTTCTGTGGCTAATAAATTGAACTGCGCAGCTGCATTTCTCGTGTCCAGGATTTCAATTCGCATACTAAGTTCCGATATGAGTCGTCTCGTTTCGGGTGCCAATGGCATAATAGATGGGCCGACCCCGATGATGAGAAGATCTGTAACTCAATTAGCAAAGAGAATTCCCCTCAATGATGCATAATATGACATGGCGCAAGTAACGAGGATGAACACATACCAGGTCGGGGCCACAGTAGATCAAATAGCGCAAATGCCTTTGGTGGTAGCTCAAACTGGCCCTTCTTGTTGACAAGATTCATTGAGCCTTTGGCCTCCCACGGACGCCAGTTGAACACCTCGCCGTCAATCAACAAAACGCCATTACCGCCCGTCACAGTAATGCCACTGTTCAGTCCAAATCCATCATACATGCACACGTCGACCGAAGTTGAAGGCGCTGGGGTGTTGCCGAGTACGTCGAGCTCGGCAAAGTCGGTTGGGGGAGGGTGCGCTGGTGGCTGTTGGTCCTTTCTCCGGCTTGGAAGGGTGTGGAAAAGTCGGCAGCTTGATGAAGAGGCTTGAGAACGAGGTGAGACTGTCGAGGTGGTGGCTCTAAAAACCGTAGTCGCGGATCTAGGTCGCTGCGTCTGGACGAGAGCTTGGCACACTGCTCGCTGTGCGCTGCAAGGCCGGATGAGACTTCGTGATGCCATGACAGAATGCCAATCGTGCCAGTATCGTGGGTTTCAAGGTAGTTACACGGTTGTGTTAGAGGGAAGGATTTCTCGTTCCGATGTAGGAATTAGAAGAGCTTGTCCAAGTAAGTGGGGGATAGATAATTTTAGCACGTCATGATTTCACCTCGCCTTATTCTGTCTACGAATTTGAGATGGCACAAATGGAGGATCCGTTCAAAGGACAAGGAATCAACGAAACACATTTTGTCAACCAGTGGATATAATTTGACCCAGTGGCGCCATTAACTTTTTATCTCACTTTCATGGTCATAATTTTTGACATTTTCGCCACACCAACAAAACTTCATCACTCATGCATAATCCACGCCAGCTTGATGTTCTTTCTCATTCAAGTCACCAAGAGGATAGTAGCAGTCCTAAGACGGCGGACGGCCAACCATTTGGCACCGGCCCGATGTATCATGCAGTCCCTTTTTGCCTAATGAACACCAAAGCAATGAACCGAGTCCTCAGAGTTCCTTGCCTTTCCCACGCAAAGCCTAACCTAGCAATGGAGATTGCATTTATTTCTTCTTCTGGCTCTGCTCCTGCTCCTTGAGCACCTTCTTCACGATCTTCTGCTCCTCAATAAGGAAAGCTCGGACGATACGGTCGCGGACACAGTTGCCGCATCGAGAACCACCGTAGGCGCGCTGGACGGTCTTCTTGGGCTTGGAGATCTGAGAGTACTCGCGGGGTCGGAGAGCGGGAATCTATACGAAAATTGAGTCAGTTCCGATATTCCATGGTAGTCGATAATCCTTCGCGACAGAGGGTTAAGACAAAAACGAGAAGCCGACTGGTCGGTTGGTTCATGCTAAATCTCGTTCCTCTCGTGAGATGTCAAGCCCTTGGCCTTAACATTGCAGTCCCTCACTATCTCGCATGCCAGCCAGTGCCCGTTTGCCGTCCTCGTGTTGTCTCATCCCTCATATCGCACAAGATTCGCTTGTCTTGGTCAACTTACGCCGATGAGCTTGGAGCCGCAGTCACCACACTTGGGAACGGTGCCGCGCTTCTTGATGTGCAGCACACGGAGCTCACCACCTGGGGTACGCACGGTGCGTGTGGTATTAGAGCTGGTGTTCCAACTGGGAGCATGGTTAGTTCTTGATCGTGTGGCCGTGTCGGAAGTATGAGGCTGTATGGCGAGAGCTGGTATCTCGACATATTTCGAGAGCGAAAAGACTCGACAGCTTCGTAGGGAAAAACTCACCCGTTACGGCGGCGATAGGTGACTCGGTGGTTAACCATTGTAGCGGCTTGGTGATTTGACTGAGCTGCTCGGGTTAGTTGGTGTTGGACGTTGGTCGCGAGAGTAGGAGAGGAGATTTCGCAAAACACTCGAGTTGTTAATTCTGTGTGGGTGTGTAAAATTCGTGGTGGGACTAGCGTGGTTAGCACGTGACACAGCCACACTATGGCTCAGCGCTTTCCCAAGCCACGGGCTCCACTTGTATGTCAAAGAGATCTTCAGGTGAGGACGTAGCTAGGGGAGTAAAGAAAACTCGGGACCTTGATCCTAAATGACAAAAAAAGATTTAGGTAAATTATTAATATCCTAGCCTAAATCTAGGATATTCTTTGCTGAGTTTATTTTGGCGCTTTATAATAACGCCTGATGTTTTCTGGCTCCCCCAGGGGCAGTTTCAATTAGTTGGTGGTAATCTGTAGACAAAGAGAAGCAACATGCTTCATTTGTATCAGTGTCGCAGAAACAGAGCATATCTCTGTGCTTGCCGAGCGCCACCGAACAGTCTGAGTTAGGTGAAAGAATTCACTGTTATTTAATGGATAGAACGATACGCTACAACAGAGGGACGCATCGAAAGAGTGCACCAGGCTTTGCTTTTTAGACTACCTAAAGAGACACAAAACTCAGGATAGGTCGCAGATTGACTCTCTGAAACATTCACCCTGATATCTCTCTTAACTTACTCTGAACAATATATGGGGGCGCCGGTTCTTGTCATTCCTCCTTGCCCAGATACGGCTCTTACACACGGCCGATTTCGCGTCTAACTCAACCACTTGTATTTGGGTGTATACAAATGTTCTTTTGAAGTTTTACTAAATACAAAAACAGTGTCAATACCGAGATGCTGAGTCTTGACTGAGCCTGGTGCCATATTCCCCTGACTATAAGTCACGATAGGACTCGATAAGTTATCAGCATGAAAGAATATCTTTATTCTAGTAAACGCTTAGAAATAAGATCAGTCGGTAGAAGATAATGAAATCGTTCATACCCATCACTATTGGTTCTGAGTTCCCTCCTCGAGAACTTTGAATCTTAGGTACCTACTCAAGCTATACATACTCTGTGATTGGAGATACTGAAGACTATAAGTTTTCGTAGTCCACGTTCTAAACACTTCATATAGAGGGTTTAGTAAACAACATATAGACTAGAAATCTAGGCATAAAGATTAAAAAGGGTCCAATGCCATTGTCCAATTATGACCTATCTGCCCCCTCTGGTAGCTCGGTGTCGGTCTTCCAATGTGTCCTCCGCCGTCAATCGTGACGGCCTTGGTTCAGATCTTACCTAGTCGAACACGATCAATCTGCCCCTGCCCTCGAAGGAAGAAACAGTCTTATGGAAACTTAGGGTCATCTCTCTCGTCCTCAAATTATGCAAGTCAGGATAATTTGACTGCGATTGATCACAACTCTACAGGAATGCCCCGAAACCTTGTTTCCTTCATTGAGCTTCTGGTTGCCTCATCGTTCAAAGAAGCAACATTAGAATTTATGGTGTTGGGTATCACTAATGAGCGACGCGGCAACGTTTGTATCTATGATCCATGGGATCGAGAGCAACTACCAAGCACTCTGTTTTAAAATTTCATGATATTGATGTGCCGTCTTCTAGTAGTGAAAAAGGTTTAAAGGCATTTCCTGCACCACTTTTGCTCCTATCATTAATGTCCTGATGATGTAGTCAAACCGTCCATAAACGCCTATGCTGTATGTTCCATGTATCTCGCTATTCCTCATCCATTCTGAACCAGTCTGGATGATCATAATATTCCCAAGTCTTGATACCCGCGGGCTCTTCCTCTTTTCTCTTCTTGGCCTGCGCAAAGATTTCACGGCTTTTCTCATCACGCATCAAGTCGGTCACCTCTTTGATGTTTGCTTGCGCTTCATTCACTGAGTTCATGAAAGCTGCAAACATGACATCGGCTATACATAGGTGATGGGTCAGCTCAGGATGTTTCAGACAACGAGTAGACTAGGGAGCCTACGTGAAGGTTGCTTTTGCACAAGCGGCTTGATCATCTTGGGGATGGTGTCGTTCAATTGCCGGACCTGAAACAAGAGCCTGATGAGCAAGTTTACATCCCGTTTTCTCACGTAGAAAACGACGTTACCTTGATGTGCAGAAGCTTGAGGCGTTTCATGGCTTCCTCAAGGCGCGCTTCATCCCAGCCATCCTGGCCGGCTGCATTCGGCGCCTGAGCCTGAGCCTGATTTTGAACGGCAGGCTGCTGGTTCATGTTTGCAAATGGGGCAGGAAGACCGGTAAAAGATAGGATAACCAGGAGTTGATGGCGCTGAGGAAGCAACACGAGATCGCAGGTGGCCGAGCGAATGAGAGGCTTGCGTGGAAAATGGGGAAAGGATCAGACGGGACTGGCAAAAGTGGACAGGGCACTATTTTTATTCCAAGATGGGTACAAAAGCCTAACAGAAATGGTCAGTGCTTGCACTGTAAACTTTGTTGATGCAGGGAAATATTCTAGAAGTAGGGAATGGATTGGATGGATGCATACAATGGAAAGATTAACTGTGTCTTCGTCTTTGCCTTGTGCGACGTGGGGCAAGCGTTGTTAGTTAGGGGAAGGGAAGAAGCTTTGACGTCTAGATTCCCGTTGGTGCAACCAAGTTCAATGAGACTGTAGGCACATGCAGTTGAGGGAACGAGTCTCGATCGAGCAAGGGACCAGGAACCAGGAACCGGTGACCCGTATTATGGGACTGCAACTGTAGTAGCTGCGACTGAACTGAACTGAACTGAACTGAACTGAACCCGTCAGAGTAAGCCCGCACCGTGTCGATCGATGGCGGTGACATACCTCGAGTTCTTTGTCTACCTAGATGCAGTAATTGTCAGTGTATCACGGGCATCAGGCAAAAGGACCTACGAGAGAGACAAACACCTCAATGTCCATGAAACAAGTCGAAGCCCGCAACTGCTGCGTCTATCCGTATCAACCGCCAACTCTAACGCTCTATTCAGCCCGTCCGTCACGTGCTTGGCAGCCAAACAGCCTTAGGTGATGATGAAGCCTCAACAAGCCTGAGCTTCTTCACACCCCCTTCGAACCGCTTCCCCGTTTCCACTTGGAGAACCTGATTTATATCAAGGCCCAGGGCCTCCGGCAAACACAGCTCTTTCATCACAAGCCTGCAATCATTCTTGCTGCTGACTTCACATACAGTCTCTATCTTCCATCGTCGCACCCGCTCAAGCTACACAAAGTCACCATCTCAATCTCTCAGCACGTTGCTTGACCCCTCCACACCCTTCCCTACTTATCCACTCCGTTCATACTGTCAGGTACCTTACCTCTCCTTGCTCTGCGCGAAGCTACCTCCCCTGGCTTGTGCTTGACGTACAAAACGACGCTTCGCAGCATCCATCAGGTACGTAGACTGCACCCTGCTGTCACCTACGGCCCCGCCTTTCTGCAGGTCTGGCCTGTGAATGGTCCGCCTGGCCCGGACCGGATCAACACTAAACCTTGTTAGGTCCATACCTGTATCACAGTTAGAACAGTGCGGGAAAGTTGAACCCAGCCTTTTGCATACCTGCCCTGTAAACTACCATCGCGACCAAAACCAGCAGCAATCTCTCGTCCATTCGCGATCTCATTCTACGCCTCGCACCCGGTCCTATTAAAGCACTCCGAAACCGTTTATTCTTGGGCAAACTTATTTGCCCTCTCCGCTTTATCTAAACCGTTCCGTTGCAACCGCCACCCTGGCTCAATCACTCGTCATGCCGAATACACCACCTCCAGCGCTATTACCCCCACCAGAAGGTATATTTAGGACCTTCGAAGATTTGATGGCTTCCGTCCAGCGCGTTGCAAAGGACCAGGGATACGGAATTGTCAAGCTGCGCGCCTCAAACTACCGCGACGGAAAACCCACCCGTTATGATCTCGTTTGCGACCGCGGTGGTGTCAAGTACAACAGCACTGCCAAGAAGCGCAACCCTTCGACGCGCAAAATTGATTGTCCCTTTCGTGCCAAGGCTGTTTGTGAAGTTCAGCTCGGAAACCAATGGCGTTTTGCTATCCAAGAGGGACGTCACAACCACGAGCCACGAGCTCCCTCTGGCACGCCTGGTCAGGAGAACGCGCCGCTGGCTACATCGATCCGATCCTTCACTAATAAACTCGACCGCCTGAACCACGACATGGCCCAGGGTCTAATGCGCATTGAGCAGCGTCTCGATAACATCGAGAAGCGCATGGACAGTCTTGAAGCCCGAGCTGGAGGCGGCTACGAACCACGCTTCCAGGCTATTGAACAAAGACTCCAGGGGATGGAAGGCCCTCGCATGGATGGGATGGGTATGGACGATGTCGAAACACGTCTTCTAGCCTCGACGGTAATGTAGGAAACTGGTCGGATAGGTGCGGACGCGCGGCATCTCGCCATGGACGATCACCAGTGAGTATCAAGATACCTGGTGGATCTGTCGGGAAACATCAACGCCTACAACGGCGACGGAGTTCTTATCAACAAAAGTGGTTCACAGCGAAATGACTTGTGAAAGTCATGCGGTCGTTGGTGGTTCTCAAGGATTTTTGCTAATGACAAAGTACGAACTGTTCAGGGCGTTTAGGGAAAGGAGCCTACAAAGTTGAGGGCTATGTGAGATTACTACTACTCTTCATGGGGTTGCGCGCATGGGAATGATTCGTTTGTTCTGTTCTTTTCGACTTACTACCCTTCTGTCTCTATTTCTTGGTACGAGAGGACGGCTTTCTTATTGTGGAGATATAAAGTCTAGTGTGTACATTAACAAGTCGGCAATTAGCCGCGTGATGTTTGACAGATTATTATTCACAATCGTATCAACCATTGTCGACATGTTATTCTTTCTTTGCCGACTTTGCCCTGTGTCCTGACTTGATCTACAATGGATGTTGCTACCCTTCTCAAGCTTGGCCATGCTGCCATGCCATGTCTCGAAATGCTCACTGACCAGGGCCGCCGAGCTTGGGCCCTCTTTAACGCACGTTTCCATGTGGTATTCCTCTTGTGGACATGGCCTGACGCCTCGCACACTGTACAATGAGTACATGCCCTTGTTTATCAAGGCAAACAACGTTTTCTGGTAACCTCTAGATCACACTGGCCCCACACCTTGATCAGATCTGTTTGCGAGGAGGATGATGTTGTTGCTTTTTATGGCACTTCTCCAGCACGATCTCACCTGGGCGGAGCACATCTTGATGAGTGTTGATTGTGGTGTTGGTCAAGAGGTGTTGGTCTAGTGCTGAGGCTTGAGCGTGGTGACACAAGCACGAGAAGTATCAGACGCAGAGCGGAAGAATCAAGATCCAAGCAAGATTCAGGGGGGTCACGATCGCCTTTGTTCTATGAGGCTGGACTACATATCCCTCGGTCTGAGGTTTATTTTTGTATTCAACGATGAACGGTGGACTGGTTGAGGTTGGTGATTTTGCCATTGACTATTAACCTCAAGAACATAGTTTTCTTACCAACAACTGCTTGTTATCTTTCAACAGGTCGCGACATCATTTCAAATAAAATCATGGCAATCGTGCAGGCATCTCCACCAACAACAGATCCGAGGGATTGACAATGCAGTTGCATCTTAATCGAGTTAGTAGCATGATGCATCGACAATACAATCACCCTAATAATGAGAACTTGAGTTTAAGTTTGAAGCCTCATGTCAAATGAGACCTCTGTTTCCAAGAGGTGTCCTTATTCGTCATCATGAAACACTGGATGACAAGTCGGAGATTTCAGAAATGGCGCTTAAACACGGTAACTGGTGGAAACATACATATGGTGCCATGGCACAAACGGCTGACGCTTGGTTGACGATTGCCACCTCAAACGCTGACAGACAACGGTTGAGCAAACAACACTGACGTTAGATTCCAGGCGGTTGTACCAGGCAAAGTAAGGCGCCTGACCGTCGGTTGATACTAACGGCTGGGAAAATTCAGGTCTGTCGAAGAAACTGCAGAATCCAAGCTGAAAAATAACTGTGTGACGGTTCTGAGGCATACATGCACGCGTAAAGGCCATCGGCATCCTCCAACCGCCCGCCAAGTTCCCATGTCGAGTTGGCCCAAGTTGAGCAAGGCAGATATGAAGGTATTCCCCTACTTACTGGGCATTTTCACGCCCGGAGATGCTCGGAGTTGCTGATATCCGTGCATCTGTTAACACCCGTGTTACATCTTCGAGGAGATTACCCGCCGCACATAACAAAGCATTGTTATGTATGCAGATTTGTGAGATGCAGCGGCTGCATGCATTCTGCCGCGTGCATGGCCAGATCCGCGGCGCCTGAATCTACAAGGGCCGGCAGGCTGTGAGAGTGACAGATCCTAGTTTTTAGTCCACACAAGAACACAGCCGACGTATCTTGTGTCACCTGGTGGCGCCGGTCGAGTCCTCATAGGAGTAAAGCCCCGGCGTTGACGATAAAGATAGATGTTGATAACATCTTGAGTCTTTGTTTGTGATGAGCTTGGCCAGTGAGAGCAGCAACAGCATTATTCTCACATATACTTGGTGAATTTTATCAAGAATTTCGAATATTATTACACAGGCTCAGGGGCTGGTATATGGTTGCTTTTGTCAACACGGGTCGAGTGCTGCACTCGGCCGTGTTGGGGCAGTTGGACTCAAAATCGAGCCCCGTTGACTTGCAACTCAGCTGTGCACCAGCATTGTTTGCTGAGGAGGCTAGGGCCTGGGAAGTCCTGCAATTTGGGTTGCCAAACTTTCTGATCGACTCTGTACGAGGCCAGAAGGTGCTGGCAAACACTACAGAGAGATATGAGGACTTGCTGGAGGAGCAAATCTTAAGAGTCCAAAACTGATACGGCCTTGTATCGATATGACTTTAATCGACCAATGAATATTTGCTTAAACTACGTAGGTCTACATCATGGAAACATATAAACAGAGGTGAGTTACCATATAGTGGCTTGCAGCACTACCAGAGGTTGCATCAAATTCCCACGCCTCACTTGGAGGAGGTGCAAGTTCCGAAGCCACTCTGGCACCCATTGCCACAGTATGCGCTCGTCTTACCACTATATACGTTATTAGATAACAGGTAGTAATGGGATGGGCGAGAATTTACCAGTTTCCACTCTTGGAGCAGCAGTATCCATATGTAGAGCCCTTGCAAGTCTGGTGATACTTGTCACCGCAAAGACCATTGGCCGAAACAATAGGAGCACTTCCGGTAGTCCACTTGTTACACTTTCCAAACTCAGCTTGACAACCGCCGTCACAGTATCCGGATGTTGAGCCGCTGTAGAAGAAATAGTTGGTCAGTAATTTGTCTGCTAGGGCCTGGGGCTGAAAACTCACCAGAAGTTGTTGTAGGAACAACAGTCTCCCCACTTGGATCCGGTGCACTTTGTACCGCCATTCTTAGCACCGCATTTGCCATCCTTGGTAGTAGCAGTGGTCGCGGTAGTCAGAGAGGTAGCTGTTGAGCATATCAGTACTTGCTTTCTTGCAGCTTTAGGGTTGAGGATAAAGCTCCGAAACAGCCGAGTGATACCGCATGCTCAAAGAAAATCTGTGATACACCGGGGCATATCTCGATGGAGTGTATCGTGCAGGTGAAGATACTTACAAGGAGTGGCACTGTATACCGGCACTGAGGGCTTGAAGTTAGGATCAGTAACATACCAGTTCTCACGGGCATCTCCCAAACACTCTCCAACAGGAACAGCCTTGTATCCCCTGTCCTTGATTGTCTTGATCATGAAAGCAGTAAGATTGTAGGCAGTTTGCTCCTGGACATCATGGCTCAGCTCGATGTAAGCATTGGCCTTTGCATTAGTAGAAACGCCTTTAGAGAAAGTGTTCTTGCTAGTCTGTATCTTATCAGGGGTGTTATTCTCAAAGTCCTTGGTGTCGAGGTTCCAGTTGATAACATGGTAACCAAGCTTGGTCGCATAGTCAAGGCAGCCAGAAACTCGGTTGCAGGTTCCGTACGGGGGACGGAGGTACTTGGGGAAGAACCCGAAGATGTTGCGGAAGGCCATCTCGTTGTAGATGATCTGCTGCTGGCGGACCTCATCACTTGAGGCAGTGAGATCCTGGTGCGACCAGGTGTGCGAGGCGAGCTGATGGCCTTCGGAGTACATCCTGCGGAGAATCTTGGGCCAACCTGCAGTTTCGTCATCGATCTGGCCCTTGGCAAGGTTGGTACCAGTGATGAAGAATGTAGCTTTGATGTTGTTCTGCTTGAGAACGTCCAATACTTGGTCAGTGTACTTGTAAGGGCCGTCATCAAAGGTCAGGGCGAAAGTTCCAGGAGTAGTGCAGTTAGTGATATACACATCTAGGTGTGGTCAGGCTGGTGGCTCATGTAGTGATGTTTCGATTACGACTTACTATAAGGGACCTTGCCATTGGTTGATCTGGGAATGTTTGCTGTGGTATCACCCTTGGGCTTCTTGCTGAACATGAGTTAGGTCAGGTGTCAACGTATATATCGGAAACAAACATACCTTCCATCACAGTTGCCGTTGCTATAGGCCATTTGGCATTGGGGTGAAGAGCAATAAGGTGAAGTGGTACCGCAGTAGCCAGCGGCAGAGCAACATTGTCCTTTGGGACAAGAGCCACTATCCTTTCCACAAGAGGCTCGCTTCTCGAGTCCTTCAGACTGGACTGAAGCATGCTCATGACGAGCAGCGATGTTGAACTCGGCTCCTTTGCGTCTGACCATAAAGTCATGTGCAAGGACCATGCTGGGCAGAGCAGCCAGTGACAGGAGAGTGACAGACTTCATTGCGATGTGAAACACTAACAAATATCTAACGAATCCTTTTGTGCAGAAGAGATAGAGACTGAGGATCGACGCACAAGTTTACCAGAGCTCTTATATATAAGTAAGTTATATCCATGACGAATCCTTCATTTCAGACTACTGAGCATTTTAGATCCTTGATGCTCGCCAGACATCTTCAGGACTATTCTCGATCCGACCAACGGGCCTTGATGACGAGACCGGCATTACAGGTGTTTTCTTTTGTGGATAACAAAGACAACCCATTGACGTAAAGTTCTTTTTAGTCTTGTTGACTCCTATTTTCAGGTCCAACAACAATGACGAGGCGTTGTTGGCTTTGACGCTTCCTCCGGTAAAGACTCGCAGTGGGTCATGCAATGGTCAAAGAAAGGATCGACTATACCATTGCAGATCGGCTATTGGAGAAAGAAGACATAGTACAATGACAAGAGTGAGCAAATTGGGTCACTCTGCGTCATGTGAGGATCCCTAACTTGGAATACCATACACCATCAACAATTGATTGTGCCAAACTGAATTACCATCCTTGGAAATGTTTAGCTCATGGCGTCTTACATCTTACACCACCC